CGTAGTGTCAAGTCCCCAACCCCCCCCAGGTTCATGAAATCTCCCACCCCGCCCAGAAAGTAAGCAATCAAAAGTATCAATTACTGAGAGCAAAGCAACACTAAAAAATAGAAGGAGGGAGAAATAGGAGCCGTATGTTTCATTTCCTCAGTTAAATTAATAAGTTACTGAATACTATATATTACTATATAATACTATATATACTACTATATAATAATATAGTATATATTACTATATACTCAATTTTACCTTAGAAAAAAGATGAACCAACAACTAAAAACATGATACTCATTACAAAGTGAGACTAAGATTTAAGAAACTCAATAAACCTCAATAGCAGGTAATAGTTTTATTAGCAGCGCCCCCTCATGGTTCAGTCCCACCACCCTTCATCCTCCATCCAGATAAAATGTTTTCCTTCCACCAAACTTTTTGGATTAGCCCGTCAGCTGTCTTGGGTAGCAGAAATAAGAAATGTCAGCCCATTTAGGGTATTAAGCTTGTACCCTAAACCCATTAATATATTGGACCACCCTGAGGGTAAAGTTTCCTCCAAATTTACCTGAAACTCCTTTAGTTTATTCTAAAGTAACTGGGAAGGAGAGCAAAGATTATGCTCCCTGCCTTCATCTCTGTGCCAGAACTGTCCACCTGCATGTGGACTGTCCTGTTTTTGTCTCTGTAGTGCTTAATGGGAATAAAATGCAATTGTCAACCCGATTCAGTCGTCTTTGTGTGTAATTTCTATCTATGGAGTGAATTTTCTTCCATTATTGTTGCAAACAAGAAAAAAAAAGTTTTAAACATTGAAAAAAAAGGTTTTAAACAAAAGGGTTTTAAAAAGGAGTTTTGCTGATTTCATTCCAAAAAAGTTAAAAACACAATCCACTGGACTTTGTTGCAAACTTTGAAGATATTTCGCTTCCCATCCAGGAACTTTTTTCAATTGAATTCATTGTTTTACCAATTTTTGTTTTCATTTGTTTTGGGTTTTTATTTACATTTTATCACAAAATAGATTTTACTGTTAAAAAATTATTATTTATTTATTTTAAAAAGCATTTTTTTTTCAGATTTTTCTTTTATGGATTGAGTTTTACAAATTGCATCTGGGGCGGGTTTTACCCTGTTTTAGGGAGCAAAGAG